AGAAGGACGAGAGGGGCAGCTACACGCTGACCACGCGTCCCTCCCCCAAGTCAGCACAGCACCACATTCTGCCCTGAGTCTACGGTTCTCCAGTGGGGAAAGGAGAGCTGGGGGGACGTCCACTCTCCCTGCACTGTAGGGGGCTTCCTGGGGATTCCTACACTGCTCTAACCTCACAGATAACCCAGGAATCTGTGGGGCTCAGCCACTGGGCATGTAAGATCTAATCAAGGAGTTCTGTAAAGCTGCAGGATATAAAACTGACATGCAAAACCCAGAAGCATTTCCATATAACAATAATAATGAATTATCTGAATAACAAAAAAGAAAACGATCCCATTTATAACAGCATCAAAAAAATACACAGACATAAATTTCAGTAAGTGAAAGATCTCTACAACTTAAAAAGACATTGATTTAAAAAAAAACTGAGGCAGACAAAAATAAATGGAAAGGTATCCCATGTTAATGGACTAGAAGGATTAATATTAGTGTTAGTTGCTCAGTCGTGCCCGACTCTTTGTGACTCCATGGACTGCAGCCCACCAGGCTCTTCTGTCCATAGGATTTTAATACTAAAGTGTCCATATTTACGAAAGCCATACACAGACTGAAAGCAATCTGTATCAAGACTCCAAAATCATTTTTTTTTAAACAGACGTAGAAAACTAATCATAAAGTTGACATAGAACCACAAAAGACTCCAAACTGCCAAAGCAATCCTATGAAAGAAGTACAAAGCAGGAGGCATCACATTTTCTGATTTCAACTTTTACTATAAAGCTAGAGTAATTAAAGGGCTTCCCTGCTGGCTCAGTGGTATAGAATCTGCCTGCCAATGGAGAAGACGTGGGTTTGATCACTGGGTCAGGAAGATCCCCTGGAAATGGCAACTCACTGTAATATTCTTGCCTGGGATATCCCATGGACAGAGAAGTCTGGCGGGCTACAGTCCATAGGGTCGCAAAGAGTTGGACATGACTTAGTGACTAAACAACATAGTAATTCAGAGTATGGTACTAGCATAAAAACAGACAGACTGAACAATGGGACTGAATCAAGAGTTCAGAAACAAACCCAAGCATACACAGTCAATTCAAGTTTACAAGAGGGCCAAGAATACTCAGTGAAGAAAAGACAGTTTCTTCAATGAATGGTGCTGGTAAAACTGATATTCACATGTAAATGAAGCTAGATTCCTAACTTATAACACCCACAAAATTTAACTCAAAATGTATAAACTTAAATATAGGACCAGAAACTGTAAAACTTCTAGAAAAAAACCACTGAAGAACAGCTCTATGATATAGATCTTCACAATAATTTTTAAGATGATAACAACTAAAGCACAAGCAACAAAATAAACAAGGGTCACTACCTCAAACTTTAAAGCTTCTGCACAGCAAAGGAAACCATCAACAAAGCGGAAAGGCAACCCATGGAATGGGGAAAAAATGCAAGGCATTTGTATGATAAGGGGTTAATATCCAAAAGATACAATCACACAACCCAATAGCAATAAATCAAATAATTCAATTAAACAACTGACAAAACACCTGAATAGACATTTGTTTTTCAAAGAAGAGAGATGAATGACCAACAGGTACATGAAAATGTACTCAATATTTTGCTCAGGGAAATGCAAATCAAAATCGAGATCAGCTCACATTGGTTAGAAAGCCTATCATCAAAAAGACAAGGGAAAAAGTGCTGGAGGGGATATGGAGAAAAGGGAACCCTGGTGTACTGTTTGTGGGACTCTAATTGGTGCAGCTACTATGGATAACACTAAAGAAGTTCCACAAAAATTAAAGATAGAACTACCATATGATCCAGCAATTCCACTTCTGGGAATGTATCCAAAAGATGAAAATACTATGTCAAAGAGATATTTGCACCCCCACATCCATAGCAGCATTACTCATAACACCCAAGCCATGGAAACGACGTCGGTGTCCATCGATGGATGACTGGATAAAGAAACTGTGTGATATAAATGGAACATGGTTTGCCATAAAAAGAAGGAAATCCTGCCATTTGTGGCAACATGGATGGACCTTGAGGATATTATGCAAAGTGAGTTAAGTCAGACAAATACTGTATGATCTCATTTGTGGATTCTAAAAATTAAAACCAAATCAAAATAAAATGATAGGAAAAGATATCAGGTTTGCAGTTACCAGAGGTGGGGAGAGAGGGTGGAAGAATTAGATGACAATGGTCAAAAGGTATAAATTGCCAGTTATAAATAAGTACTATGGATATCACGTAACACTGCTGGATTATATATTTAAAAGTTGTCAAGAGAGCAGAGTTCTCAACACAAAGAAATAAATTATTTTTCTTTTTGGGGCGTATTAATACGAGATGATAGATGTTAACTAAAATTACTGTACTCATTTCACCATATGCATAAGTCAATTAATTTATAATGTAAACCTTAAAGTTACACAGTGTTTGGCAAATGTATCACAATAAAACTGGGAGAATGAAGTGCAACCTTTTGAATTGTATTTCGTTAATCCACTTATTGAGTAACCAAAAAAACTGCAGGAGAAGATGTGAAAATGCACTTTGATGATGAATAAAAAGAAAAAAACGGAAAGCCAACCTGAGATTTTATAGTACGCTCTGTACTTAAATATATGATCACATTTTCTGGGTTGCATAATACACCAATTCTATTTTGAAAATATACTCATTTAATATTTTCTGATTATGAAAATACACAGTATTACAGAGAATTTAAAGTACAGAATAAATATAAAAAAGATGATTTAAAACATTTTAATCTACCATAGAAATAATTTATCAGCCATAAAATTCCAGTCCATTTCCATTTTTCTGTACATAAACATTATAAACACATTTCCTTTTTTTCCACAATTGGAACCACACTTCTATAGTTTAAGTCTTTTTTTTGTTGTTGTTTCTTACTTAACTGGATAATATGATTATCTCCCTTTGCCCCTAGATATTGTTCAATGATTTTTAATATCTTCATAAAAGTTCATCATGTGGATACACATTAATTCTCCTTCCATGGTTGGGCATTTAGCTTTTCACCACATTTCCATTGTGTCTATAAACCTACAGAAGCATTTTTCAAACAGAGTTTTCTGTGTGTGCAACTCTGACCATTTCCTCAGGATAAATTCCTAGAAATGAAAGTACTGGGTCAGAGGACACAATTTTCAAGTTTCTAGCACCTTCTGGAGAGAAATTTATGTTCCTAAGAGCAGTGTATAAAGAATGTTTATCTCCTACTACTCCTCCAGCAGTTAATATTACCTTAAAAAATATATGCACATTTCTCATTGTTATGCATGTCTTATTTTTGCTTTGATTTGTATTTTTTGGATTACTAGTGAGTCTAGATGTTTTTCCCCCGTTTCTTGAAGATTATTTTCTCTTTGTGAATTTATGTGTATTGCTCATATTTCTATCTAGAGTGATCATCTTTTAAAAAAAAATTATTTAAGACTATACTGTGATAGTTTTTACTAAGGTTTTGTTGCTAGTTAAATTTTAGATGAAGTCTTTCCAATCAACAACAGTAGTTGTTCTTACTGTAATTTCAAGAGTTAAAAAAAAATCAATTAGAAAATTCAGACTGAGGCAAAGATGATACCTAGAAAAATTAGATCAACCAAATTTCCAAACAGGTGATGGCACCTGGGGATTCCTCTTCCCATGGCGAATGTTTTCTCAGGAAGTCATCCTGAAACCAGAAGTATATAGACCTTTAGTAGTGACCTCTCTGACTCAAATGCAAAGTCCATCTCAGGATGTTTGGTTGGGTTTTTCTGTATTCCACAGGTCCTGGTCTCAGGGTTTCAACTGTAAGATGGAGAGGAGAAGATGCAGGGGTAGATACAGACAATCCACCTGAGAGTATGTTACACCTTCACACACCTTTTGAGACATTTCAGGCTTGGCAGTCTTTTTAGCACAAATGTTCTCCTTGAATTTGTTTCCACTGACGTGCATATCAACTGTAGGTAAAAACAAAGCTGCCTACCACAGATGTTAATCAATGATTTGTTGAATGATTTTGCCGCTGCAGTTTCTACTCTGGGCGTGGTATTGAGTGTGCACATTGACACGACTTCTTTGGCATCATCAAAGTCACTTAGAAAGATGCTCTCATATGAGCAGATTTTCTGCAGTGACAAGAAACAGGCAAGTATTTTTCTCTCTCCGTTTCGCAGCTCTCATCGACCAGCCACTGGCAGAAGTCACCATTCCTTCAGCTAAGAAATGCTGCTTTCCAAAATCCTTTGGCAAAATCTTCCAGAGATTTGTTTTTCTGCTTCTTCCTAATTTAGAAACAGTCTTCAAAGAGGGAAAAAAAAAAACAAACCTGACATATCAATGTGAGAAGAAACCAACTCATTTAATTCTGCATTTCTTTCACAGAAAGTTTCAGAATGTATCATCGATGACCAATAAATTGGACAAGATCATTGTGGGGTAAAAGTCAACAAGAACAGGTAGACCCCAAGATTCTTTTTTTTTTTTTTGAATTCAAGAAACAACGTGTGACACAAATTTAAGATTTTATTAAAATCACTTGTAAATTGACATAATATCTCAGTGGTGAAGGAAAACTTTGAACAAAGCAAAAATAATGAGTTGTGTGAATTAACAGAAGGGTGAACAGTGTTAAGTGTGGCATTTAAATGATTACATGATTTTAATTATTCTTTTCATAATAAGCAACTCTGTGAACATCTATTCAAGAAGTTGAAAGCTGTGCCTCGTATGGAACTTGCAGCTGAATTAAGGCTTTGTTTCCTGCCTTCGGCAATTTTAAGAAAACAAATGGAAATGGTTTGAAGAACTTATAAAAAATCCACCACCTACCGAAAGAATTTAAGGTAAGGTGGTAGGCATTAGAGAGAGAAAAACAGACACAGAGTGTTCATTTGTGAGGCAGAAAAGAGAGAACAGACGTAATGATGAAAGAAGTGACCGGAAGTGCAGCTCAGGCCAACCCCTTATTTATTCTTGGCTGTCAGGGGTTTCCGGCTGATCTTTTTCGATTTGTCATTATTTTTCTTTGGCGGTTCTGGGTTTGCCTGCATGTGTCTGCCGTAGAGGCTGAAAAGAGAGAGAAGGGAAACTGTGAGATCCACCTTGTGAACACAAGATACGCTTCTACTGGCAGAGTTTTCATCAACAGATTCATCTCCAGGCATACTGAGGGAGGCTATGAACACCACAAGGGCATTTTTGTTTCCTCTGGTCATATGCTGGATTTACACATGTGCGCACACACACACATACACACACACACTCTCTCTCTCTCTCCTACTCACTCCACCATGCCATGAAGTTCAATTCTGGACCAGTCTCTTGGAATCGAACACTCTCTGGGCTAAGGAAGAGAGACCCAGGGCTACGAAAAACATGAGGCTCAGCCTGGCTGCTCCAGACCAAAGCTCCACAGGCCGTGAGTGTTGGAACTGACGGTGATCAAAACTGAGTTGAGCTGAAAAGACAGGGTGTCACCTTAGTGCAAAGTGAGCAGCGCGCCGGCCTGAGAGCCCCAGGGCTGGGTGATGCGGCAGAGAGTGATGGGGTCCGAGCCTGCGTGAGCTGCTCACCCGTGATGGATGGCGCTGGGGTGGCGGCCACCCATCAATGCCACGTTAATAAGCACCGCTGATTAAATGTTGACGAAGTACCCTACAATCACAGCCACAGCATCCATCGCAGAGCAGAGCTGGCTCTGTGGCTGAGGGGATTGAACCTGATAGCAGATAGTAATTAATCGGTAATTTATGAGTCGTTCTGATTAAACCAAATTAAAAGCCACCCGAAAGTGAAAACAGCTCAACCTTAACTCCCCTTGTTGCTATAACTGTGTCCCCGAGAGAGGCCGGTGGGTGTCTCAGTGCTTCCCTAAGAGACGCAATACCTGACCCCACACTGCTGGACAGGCTGGACACAGGCTGTACTGACCTTCCTGTACAAGGCGCCCCGTCTTCTAGGATCCACGTGGGTGATCGACACCCTCTCCTGCACTTGGCATACACTCATGCTCCCGAAGACACTGATGCTGTGGTTGATGGGCTGAGGGACAGACCTGGTGCCCAGAGTTGTCCAGTTGACGGGGTGCTTAGGGAAACTTGGACTCTAGGTTTTGACAGGTCATACTGTAGTCTGCTTCTCCAGAGGCTTCCGAGCATCTCCTCAGAAGCAGGATCTACCAACAGTGGTCATGAACTTGGGTCTCTGTTCCCAAGGAGTCTAGAATACAGAGAGTGGCAGCAGACAGACCTACAAGCTGAAGAATGTTAAGTCCAGCCAGGTGCTGGGAACGTTCTCCAGGTAAGGGGGAGCATCAAGGAGGAACTACATGTCCTTGACATGTCATTTCTGAGCCTGTAAGTTAGCATTTAACTCCTGCAGAAGTTCCCTTAGAGCAGGAGTCCCCAACCTCTCAGATCTCATATCTGATGATCTGAGATGGAGCGGCTGTAGTAATAATAATGTGTACCATAAACATAACATGCTTGAATCATCTACAAACCACCATTTCCCTCACCCCACTGTCCATGCCAAAACTGTCTTCCATGAAACCGATCCCTGGTGCCAAAAAGGTTGGAGACTGCTGACAGAAGACTCTGAATGGAGTCTAACTGAATGGAGAGGCAGGCCCAGTCCTGCCCGGCGTCCACAGCAGAAACATCCCCAAGAGAACCCGCCATCCAGGAAAATGCATCTTTAAACCTACACACACCCCCTCCCTACACTTTTTAAGAAAACTGGAGTATCATTGCTTTACATACTGCATTAGTTTTTGCTGTGTGGCAAAGTGAATCAGCTCCACATACAAATGTCCCCCCTCTTGGATTTCTTTCCCACCTAGGCCACCACAGAGCAGAGTCGAGTCCCCTGCGTTATACAGCAGGTTCCTACTAGCTAGCTATTTTACACATGGTCATGTATGTCAATCCTAATCTCCCAATTCTTGCCACCCTCCCTTCCCCATGTGGTGTCCATATGTTTGCTCACTGCATCTGTGTCTCTATTTCTGCTTTGCAAATAGGTTCATTTGTACTATTTTTTTAGATTCCACATACACGCATTACCCCTACACTTTAAAAGGAGAAGCCGGTTCCCATCAAAGTCTATGTTGTGGACACCTGGCAGTCCTGGATCCAGGCAAAGAAACATTGGTTTAAGCAGAAAGGAAGGTCCAGCCAATCTGGCCTTACCACTGTTACCAGTCCCACTCCCAATGATGTCCCTGTCCAATCCCCCAGAACTTGCTATTGTCACCTTACATGACCAAAGGGACTCTGCAGAGGAAATGAGGTTAAGGACCTTGAGGTGGAAAGATGATCTCGCATTTTCTAGGGGGTTCTGACCTGTGCACCCCTTCCCCCACCCTGCCAGCACATCTCCTGGATGCACCAGAGCAGGGAGAGCAAACTGAGCCAAAGGAGAGTTGTGCGTTACATTCTTGACCTGTATGAGACAAGCTGATCCTCCCATAGCGTCTGCCCCCTCCTCCTCCTCCCAGGATGCTGCTTTCCTAAAGATCAGCGGCCTAGTGCTACAGCGCAGTGTGCACAAGGGGGCCTGGGGGGTGGGGCTCTGGTCTCCAAGCTCCTCCCACCTGGCACGAAGCCAAGGTCTGACTGTTCTGGGCATCCACAAAGGCATCTATGGTCACGGCATCTTCCACTGTAATCGCTTTCTCACAGCTTCAGGGTCTCTCCTCTACTTTCCAATCTCTTATCCCTACACTCATTCTTGCTCGCAGATAACATCCAACTTTAAGGATCACAAAAATCTGTAGATACACAACTCCCTCGTTTGTGAATTTGGAAACCTGGCAAGACACAGGGGCTGGGAAAGTGGTATCAACAGAAATAAAGAGGTCAGAGGAGGCAGAAGGGATGAAAGACTCAATGAGGGCCTGCTATGCACCACATCCTGAACACACAGGCATGGAAGGCTTCCTGGAAGGAGAGGCAGTGTTGCCGGGCCCTGACAGTGGTCATGAAGCAAAGTCATTTCAGCAGATGTGCCAAAGCTGCTTGGGGTTCAGCAAGGCTCCTCTATGCAGGAAGGAACTAGAATGTTCCAATCTGTCATCGCCTGCCTTTTTAGACTCAGACCCCACTGTGTGCCTTGCCTTCCTGGGGCTACACAGCAAGCCACTCACTACAAAGGGTCAGAAGGGAGAGTGAAAAGTCTGTTTGCCACTTATGAGCTGTCAGTTCTAGGCACATGATTAGCAAGCCTCATCCCCACCGTGCCTTCGTTTCTTCATCTGTAAAAGAAAAAATGATGTTGTTTTCTCATAGGGTGGCCATAATGCTGAGGTAAGCCAGGCACCAGGGCATGACATGGGGTTAGAGTGATTAAATAAAGATAATCATATGATTACTTCTCCAGGGTTTTTTCCCTGAAAAATAACATGGTGTTTTCTACTGACACCAAATCGCCAAGCATATATGGAAGAAAGGTTTGGATCCTCTTTGAAGATAGCGACTCAGGCTAAAGGCACTGTCCCACTTCCTCCATGAGTCACCAGCGGATGACTCTGCCCTGCTCTGCGGGATCCTCTCACTCCTCCAGCTGTGTGCCAGAAGACAGCCGCGTTTCACTCTCATCTGCAGACGGGATCCATCAGAGCGATCATTCCCACCTGGAGATGAGGCTCTGGCCGGGCAGGAAGGACGAGCATCTCAGGGTCCCAAGTCTTGGATTCCCTCAGCTGTCAGTATTAGCCCTGGGGCCTCCATTCAGTAAGTGCAGGGGACAGAATAATGGCCCCTCAAAATGTCCACATTCTGATCTCAGAGACCTTGGGGTCTGTAACCTTTTATCGCTAAAGGTACTGTGCAGAGCTGATTAAGGACTTGAAAAAATTTTTTATTGGAGTTGCTTTAGAATGTTGTGTTAGTTTCTGCTGTATAGCAAACCCAATCAGTCACATGTATACATATATTCCCTCCTTGTTTTTGGATTTCCTTCCCATTTAGGTCGCCACAGAGCACTAAGCAAAGTTCCCTGGGCTAAGCAGTAGGTTCTCATCAGCTATCTATTTTATACATATCAACAGTGTGGGTCAGTCCCAATCTCCAGTTCATCTCATCTTTTCTTCCCCCTTTGCTATCCATGTTTGTTCTCTACAGATTTGTCTCTATCTTTGCTTTACAAACAGGTTAATAGGTGGAGAGATGATCCTGGATTATCTGGGTGGGCCCAACATAATCACAGGGGTCCTCTTAAGAGGGGAAACGGGGGTGCTGGAGGGCCAGAGTCAGGGATGCTCAGATGCTGGCTTTGATGATGGAGGAAGGGACTGCCAGTTGAGGACTGCAGGCAGAATCTAGACCCTAGAAAGGCAAGGAAACAGATTCTTGCCTAGAGCCTCCAAAAGATGAAACCCTGCTGACACCTAACTTTCAGACTTCTGACTCCCAGAACTGTGAGATAATATACTTGTTCTGTTTTTGGCTACTAGGTTGGTGCTGATGTTTAGTGGCTAAGTCATGTCTGACTCTTTTGCAACCCCATGTACTATAGCCTGCCAGGCTCCTCTGTCCATGAAATTTCCCAGGCAAGAACACTGGAGTAGGTTGCCATTTCCTCCTCTAGGGGATCTTCCCGACCCAGGAGTCGAACACATGCCTCTTGTGTTGGCAGGTGGATTCTTTACCACTGAGTCACCAGCGAAGCCCTTTTGTGGCCACTAAGATCATCTTAATTTGTTATCAGCAGCAACAGGGAACCAATATAGTAACTGAATCTCTCTGGGGCTGTCTGTGAAGGATTTTGCTTAGTTTTAGCAGAAGAAACTTTCTTCTGGGGTAGCAACTCACTGACAAGACAGGAAAGTTAAAAACGAAGTTGCAGAAAGGCCACAGAAGGAGAGTCTCTGAGGAAAAATGTGTGCTGTCTACAAGAAGAGGAGGAGGTGGGCAGGCCAACTACCCCTCTCTGCTACAGTGACACACGATGGGCCTGGATCCCTCTGTGAGCCGAAGCTGATAGTCATAGTCCATGTTTGAAATGCATCCAGAGTTTAATTTACAGACGGGACAGTGACAAGATGGGCAGGTCTATGCTTTGGAAAG